CAGGCCTGATTTTACTTTTGTTCTGCTCTGATTTGTATCTATGTATGCAGTTCTTGCATAAGTAATCTCATTTTTTATTGCTTGTTCTGAAGCTGCACAATACTTTGCCCAGATGACACTTTGAACCTGAGCCGCTGCAGGGACATGATGCCGAAATGACGTCTAATGTTCATGTCTGCAGCCGGGACCGTTAAGCCTGATTTAACTCACACAGTCATGCTTTCACACACTTGCACACAGCAGAATCGCACAACCATACAGCATTAGGTAAATATAGCTAACAAAACATCAAACTATCACGCCTGTGCATATTATACACACACATACACACACATACATGCATGCACACTGCAAAACATCTGCTCATGCTGTTATGGAAATTAAAATGCAATAAAACAATCTGGAAATGCACATGAAGCAATAATGTTGAAGCGGACAGATTAATAAATGCTAAGACTGCGACATGCGCTCACACACCGACAGAGGAAAACAGACGAGCATGTACATGCTACATATGTACATCCGTGCACACACACCAGCAGTGTGTAACAGCTGTGGGACGCCTCCTCCCCCACTGACCCAGATCACTACTGATGATGATGATGATGATGATGAGCCCCCCCCCAGTCACCAACAGCGTGGATGAACTATATTAGCACAAGAATTTCATGCAAATTTTAATCCTAATGCACAACTTCTGCAAAAATAAAAAATAAAGTTACTGTTGCCATCCAAAAAGATAACATCCAGTTTAAACACGCTGCTGAAGGTTAAGCCGTGTACAAGCTGTTAATGGATGTCTCCCATTAAACCGATGATACAAAAGGAAATGTGGGTAAACAACAAATGAGTTAGGAAGTTTTCTAACCTTCTCGACAATAGGCTCTGGAGCCGAAATGTCGATGATAAAAACACACAAAATAGTGACATCTGCTGACAGGACAGTTTCTCCTCGTGTGTTTTCAGGATGTACGCTGGCTGCAGGTGTAAATGTGAGAGTCTCTACATTTAGCTAACCAACATGTTAGAATTGGATTGTTTAAATACAGCAGTTTATGCATAGAAACACTGCAATGAGGCCGTTTAAGTTTGTTCGCTGGTTAGTAGAAGTCACATTTCTTCTGTTTTAATTAACCTTTATTTAACCAGGAAAAGGCTCATCAAGATTCAAAATCTCTTTTTCAAGAGTGACCTGCCCAAGACAGGCAGCATCACAACGGACAGACAGACAAGGTCACAACAACATCCACACAGACGTCACACTCATAATACATGATGAGACTAAATTGAAAAGATAAGAAACCAACATTTCAGCAGGGATCAGGAACGTAACTAGTTAAAATAATCATCTGTCAAAACATCTACAGACTGATGTTTCTGCCTCCAAGTCATTGAAGAAGTGTTTAAAGAAACCAGCTCCTGAAGTTTCAGATCTTTTTGCAAAGTGTTCCAGGTCGAGGGAGCAGCAAATTTAAAAGCTTCCTTTCCCCGTTCTTTTCTAACCTTGAGAACAGACAGTAACAACAGATCCTGGGATCACAGACTGTAACTACTTGGAGCTTTTGTACAAATTAAAACCTGTAAAGAACAAGGAAGCAAGCCTAAAATACATTTATGAATTAAAACATGCCAGTGCTTTTTCCTTTGTGTGGACAAATCTGACCATCTAACACGAGAGTACAACAAACAATGATGAGTAAAAGACTTAAAAAATAAACTGAGTTACTTTTATAATCCAGTTAATTGCTGTTTTAGAGCACAAGCTGTCATGTAGATTACCTTATGAAGTAGATTTTCTAGCTTTCCAACCATTTCTGTTTTCTTAAACTGTATTTTTCAAATGTGCTTTTTTATTTCACCTCTACTGTGCATTCCATATTTAACTACTTATCACTCTGTATAAGCTAAACAATGCTCATAGGATATGAAACGCAGTGATCCACAACCTACAGCAGCTGAAATTTCCAAAGACAACTCAGAGCGTGCAGTGTTACTCACCCGTGCTCCTGCTGAGGTGAACCGTGGTTCCAACTGGTGTCTGAGGAGGGCAGCTCCACTGTCTGAGACTGGGAGAGTGAAAGAAAAAATAACATGAAATGAAGAATGTGTCCTTAAAATATATATATTAAATGCAGGACAGCTTTAGTGTGTGAACAGATTTTAAAAGCTAATATGAAAATCAAGACTGTTAGAAAAACACCAGTACTTGATTCAAAGTAAAACAGTTAATCCAGATGATTCCACCACATCGTCCATCTGAGGTTACAGGAGTGGTTTGGAGTCACTGGACAAATTGAAGACCCCGCCTCTCTGGGAACGAACACACACACAAACACACACAATCACACACACACACACACCAGAAATCATTGATTACTGTAAGCAGGGCTAATAGTCAGCCTTTACGTTTAGCTCCATCAGCTAAACCAATGATCTGGAACCTCCCAGTCTCAGAGGAAGAACGTGTGTGTGCCTGTGTGTGCGTCAGTCCTGGACAAAAAACAAAAAACTAACAAGATTTAACAGATCCTAACAATATTATCTATGTCATTTCACTGATACAGCACCCCACATGAGTTAAAGTTGGTCTTGTTTTCACTCTAAGCTGCTTTGGATCAAATATTCTGCTCTGGTAAATGCTGATATTAATTACAATGTGTGACTCCGCAGAGTTGACTGGGGAGAGGAAGCAGGAAGGAGAAGGAGAGGCAGACAAATTCCCCCAGTGTTTAAAAAAAAAAAAGTAGAGGCAGCAGCACACTGGTTGAGCCTCTGATCATCGGGTCTCTGATCAGTGTTTGGGTTCCAGGCTGCTGTGGAGCCATTAAGAGCCGCGACGACACCGACTGGTGTGGACAGACTGACAGAGAAAGTTATGACACAGAGACAAGGACCGACATGAACAATTAAAACGAGTGAGGTGGTGAAGAAAGATCCACGAAAATGCAATATTTTTGTCCTTTTGTAGCTCCAAAAGTCAGTGTTTATTTTATTGAAAGCTTTCTGTAGTTTTAATCAGACTGATATTGAAAAATACAGAAAAATAAGACACACACTTCCTTAAATCAGTTCCATCTTGCCAATCTCTTTCTTATCAGCACACCAAGTGGGCCGGGAGATGTTTAGTATATGTTGTGGTGCTTTCAGTCATATCACATGATCTTCATCAGCAGGCACAGTTTGATGATTTGACACTGAAAAGTTTCTTTGCATTTTATTAACGTTTGATCCCTGTAAGGTTAAAAACTGCAGTTTAGAGGAAACAAGAGTTGAGAGAACAATCTCACCAAAAGGTCTTTTGAGTAAGAACTTAATAGATCAGGTCCTTTTCAGGAAGACGTGTGGATGTGCTCCTCTTCTATGGTGTCCTCTTCTCTCATTACATACATGCTACCTCTGGAACATATCAACATAGACATGTCGCCCAATTGTACACCCTATAAAACTTGATGCCACCGACGTCTCTTGTAATATTAAGAAGAACTCCCTGGAGCTGAATGACTCCGTATTTGTTAAGACGTCTTTACTCGGGTGTTATTTTTAACTCTGAGTTGCCTATAGATACTCAGGTGACCAAACCGGTGCAGTCTCGCTTTGCTCAAGTCATTCCTCTCCTCTGCAGACTGAGAAGAGGTCATCCATCCTTTCATTCCCTCCATACTTTACTGTTTTAATGAAGTTTAATCTGGTATCAATAAGCAAAACGTCCCAAAACTGCAATTAATTCATCCACCCATCCATTATCTATACACTGCTAAATCCTCACTAGGGTCACAGGGGGCGCGAGACCATATCACAGCACACACAGGGAAAACACAGGACAACCTGGACAGGTCACCAGTCTATCACAGGGCTACACTTAGAGACAGACAACCAAGCACACTCACATTCACACCTACAGACAATTTAGAATCACCAATTAACCTCAACATGTTTTTGGACTTTGTGGGAGGAAGAACCCACGCTGCACAGGGAGAACATGCAAACTCCACACAGAAAGATCCCGGGTGTCCTCACCAGGACGCGAACCAGCAACCTTCTAGCTGCGAGGCAACAGTGCTACCAACTGAACCACCTTGCAGCCCGCAATTAATCCAACTTTTTTTTAACATGCACTAAGAGAAGCGACCATGTAACTACAATCCTTGTGGACCTCACTGGTTATCAATTAATGAGATAAGATCTCACTGCTTGTATTTAAAGTCTTGAACGATCAGGCTCCTGCTTATATCTGTGATGTTCTAACTCCTCATGAACCTGATTAATGCCTGAGATCCTCCAGGAGTCTTGACTAAAAGTGATCAGGACTTTGCTCTTCAGACTCCTTTTGCTGTGGAACTTCTATGGAAGATTTAAAGCAGGAGTATACTCTTGAGAATCTCTTATTATGCTCTACTCTTAACTGTTGCCATTTGTTGTACCTACTTATTTGAACATTATTTACTTGCAATATCTGGTTTTACTGTAAAGCCTTAAACTTTGTTTTTCAAAGCTATGGTATAAATAAAGTTATTATTATTACTTTCTTTGCTGATGAAGATCATCCCACAGGACCCGCTACATGGACCCTAAGGTGAGATAATTTCAGGTATTTTCAAAGTGTAAAACTGCTCTAAAGTCTCCCGTTCAGCTGAATTAACAGCTACGACAGCCACTCCGCTATATCGGCTCGCGCTGTGTTTATTTAACCGTGACAAACACAAGGAGCAATTTAATATTGGAAAAAAACTACCATTGTATGAAGACTATTAGAGTTAATTGGGCCTTTCAGTCCTGCTGGGTGTGTAAAACAGCTGATTAATCACCGCAGACATTATGTAACACTATCGATTGCGGCCGAAGACGGCGATGAAGTGACATTAAAGCAATAAGGAGTGTACCTTTACTGTGATTAGTGTAACCTGTGGCTGCATCCATAACGCCACTCAGCCACCCAAATTCACATGAAGAAAAAATAACTCAAGCAAACAAAAAAAAAAACACAGCAAGCAACAGCAGAGGCATTTTTTTTTCAACATTTAATAGCCAATTAAAATATATTCCAGTTTATGTAACAGCAAAACATTCCAGACAAAAAGAAATGCGTGTAGAAACGTTTCCATTTACATTTCGATGTCTCTCCATTTTTTTTTTTTTTAATGTTTGCAGAAAATATATGAATGAAATCTTTTGAATTAAAACAATAAAAACAGCATCTTCAGATATGTTGTAAAATGATGAAATGTACTTGTATTCTGGCTGCACCTTTAACTGCAACATGCTGGTTATTTGTACTATGACAACATTTTTCTTCTTGTGTACAAAAATAGGATGTAATATCTTCTGTTGTTGTTTTTTTTTGTTTGTTTTTTTGTCCTGAATCATAGTCTCTGTTTTCTGCTGCTTTTGTCTGGTAGCTACTGTATAGACTGAATGTATACAAAATGCAAACCATGAAAAAAAATGACGCTTTAAAATTTTTTTTTACCCAAAGCAACTTCTCTGTTGTACTGAAGGAGGAACAGAATGAAAGGGAGTAATTACATTGAATACAGAACATATACCAGTATTCTGATTTTCTATTATATTCCCTACTTTAAACAGGCCTGAGAACTTTAAACAGTTATGATTGGATATGCTTAAATACCTTCTTTGTTCCTTTCTATTGATGTAAACCTCCATTTTTTTTTCAATCATTCATTTAACTAGATTTTCCACCAATAACTAAGTATTTGATCAATAAATAGTTGTATTATACCCGATGGGGATGTGTGTATGCTGTTTGGTTTGGCAGGGAGAATGTTTAGAAGCTCTGGCATGAATGCAAAATTATGACAAAAATTGTGAGGCAACATTAGTGATATTTTAGCGAGTTAAAACTAGAGCCCGACTGATCCTGGATTTTTAGGGCCAAATGAGAGACCCGTTTTTTAGGGAATAAAGGATTTCAATGATTGCAAAGGATTGCATAGAGTATGTTGGAGTTAGACTCACAATGGAGAATGATAGGGTCATTGATCATTAACTTTCCAGCAACTTACTGTCAAGACCGTGCACCACCGTCTGCTCAGCTGTGATATGTACTCTGCTGCATGTGCTGCATACAGTGCTGAGAATATTGTAAACAATGGATCTGCTGGTCAAACTATGTGATGACACCATTTCTAAATGACCCCAACCATCTTTTCAATCAGTTATGATCTGTAAAAATACGTTTTTATATTGGACATTGTATCCGTAGCAGGACTGTCGAGCTCCAGTTAAAACTCTCCTAAAATGATGAAATCCCTTTTGAAAAACTGAAACCAACACCTGTATTTGACTACTGAACCTTTAAAACTACCCAGTCACCCTTATGCCACTTTAAAAAAACAAACCCAGGTACACCTCTAAACCAGCTCTCTGTGAGGTAGTGCAGGTTGACAGTCTCCTGTAGTTTCCTTGTTTTTCTCAAGCTGGATTGAACCCATGTCCTTTTCTTTCTTCATAACAATATTAATACTCAAAAAAGGATGAATAAGACCAACAAAGCACTTGTTTTGTTACAAAGTGCTGTGAAAGAAAATGACTTTCTTTCCTTCACCATTGAAAAGCATAATAAAAAATTAGAGGACAATATCTGGCTACTGTCACTCATCGATAACGCCAACTGGCTTCATTCCCAAATGTCCCCAGTGAGAGTTAACAAAAATACAACACAAAGTGTCTGCAGAAAAAAAATATTCACAAAAGCACAAAAGAAAAACCCAACGTGATAATTTTTATAATAATTTTAAAAGCTTTTGGATAGTAAAATATACTCACCTTCTATTCCTTTATCAAGCAAAATAAGAACTTAAAAGGATTCAAATACTTTTCCAAATGTACAAAAAAACATGTTAAACATGCTTTACATTTCATTTTATAAGCTCAGTTAGTTTCAGGTTTGAGCTTGTCCTTCAGCACAACGTTTTAGACCAGGAAGACTTGTTTGTAAAAGGCCAGTAGGTTAGCTGGTGGTATGTGACCGTAGTGGAGCTATGAAAGTGTAATAAAATAAAATTACATATTGCTACATTGAATGGAAAAATAGTGCAGATTCTCATTACAAATCCAAACATCTTGGGAAAAACGGTGAAGGCGCAGCATGTTTAGTCTTCACTGACAGTGGATCAGGTGTAGGCTACATGTTCCTCCTAACTACAGGCGAGTTCAAAACCAGGAGTTCGCCACAAACATTTATTCTTCTGTCGTCAGTTTGAGAGTTTTTGTAAGAGTCACAGCATGAAAAAGTTGGAAAAAATACATTTACCATTTTTGGTAACCGTTTTTTTTTTTTTTGTGCAACAAGAGACTTGGCTTGAAGCGAAGACGGTCTGGTTGACTGACTTTACAGTGCGGAGGAGAAACAGTGAGAGTGTGTGCGATTCTGAGGAGGAAGCGGTGCATCCGTGTTGGGTGTAGGAACTAGCCTCTGGACAGGGTGCGTGTATAGACAGAGGGTGTGAGGAGTCATCAATACTTGCTGCTGGAGTCGTTAGCAAAGCGGCTGACGTAGGCTTCATAGATGGATTCCAGGAATGAGGCGTCAGTCTGAAACAAACAAGTTGGCAACTTCATTCTGTTTGCTAATGTGCATGCATGGAGAGCTATTTACGCGTCTACTCTGGTTTTCCCACCAACAAAGTAGAATATGAAACAAACACAATGACAAAGTTAAGCATCCAGCTATGGACTTACAACCAGTCGTTGTTTTTACCTGGATCAGATGCAGCAGTGTGGCTTGCAACTGGCTTCTGGAAAGAACTCTGACCTCCTCCTGCAGAGGTGGTCTGGGCAGGTTTGAGGGGGCAGGGCTGCTCTCCTGAGCAACCAGCCCACCGCTCAGCTTTGTCTGCGTGAACACACTGGGAGAAAGGAGCAGATTGGGGGCCACAGTGGCTGGTATCCGTTGAGGGGAGATGACCTGCACACAGACAGTTATTAGTCATCCTTTCCAATTTTTTATATGCTTAGAAATTAGTGACCAGTTTAACGGCCACTGTTGATGCTCTGATGCCACTTTTGCACAGTGAAAACGTTCAGGATTTGTCAGCTGTTAGGCTCATTTGTCCAAAGTCAGCTGCTACCTGAATACAAAGTCCTTTACCTGAAATTGAAGTGCGGCTTTTTGACCTGCAGTGGTTGTGGTCGGGTTTGGGACGGTGGCCAACATCGAGCCTGCACCTGGATTTTGGTTGGGCCCCAGGAATCGAGGCGCCAGGCTTGGACCGTGTCGAGGCAGATCGTGAGAAGCCAGGCTTTGTTCCTGCTGGACCAGCTGGAGCTTCTGGAGGAGCTCATGAGGTGACACCACACCTGGCATGTGGGAAGGCAGACCTGACAGGAGAAACCAAGACCCAACTATTAGAATTATTTTTTGCAGGTTGCACTGATGGAACCAGCATCTTGGTAGAGACATTTTTAAATTCACATTTGGAAACAGAGAGAAACAAACAAAAGTCCAAGTCAGAAACCTGAGAGAACACTGAACTACTGTAAGCTCACACAATTTTTCCAGATTAGAAATAATTAATCAGACACATTTAAAAGAAAAAGTCACTAAATTTATCAGTTATATAAACAAAAAAATGTTTATGGGGCACATTCTGCAGAAACAAACACACTGTCAGTTCGTACAATTAGTGCAACTATTTAGCATAGATACTACGGAGAAACTGTAAATTTTGTCTACAATTGTAACATTTAAGGAAAAGAAAATTGTTATTGGAAATTTATAGGACTTGTTGCTCTACAGATTGTGTTATTTTTAACTGGAATTTTAGGTTACTGCTGTCTAATTATTGCTAGTTACAGATTATATAATCTATTATTCATGTTTGCATAAGACTGATCTAACACTTCACTGCTGTATTTGTCAAAAAGTGGCAGAAGCCTGTATGTGGCATACCAACTAATTCCTGAATATTGTTACCATGAGAGATTTCCCACCTGTTGCCTGTGCAGTTGAAGCTGTCTGGCTGCTGAGCTGCGCCTCTGCTTGAGACCTAGAAGGGCTGAAAAACAGCTGCTGGCTTTGTTGTGCTTGAAGGTGGGAACATGACACAGAATCCACTATCACAGGCTGGGAGGAGAGATGGGGGCTCTGCTGCAGAGGAGGAGGAGGGTTGGGGCAACAGGGAGGAGCAGCGGAGGTGAAGGAGGGTGGAGGAGGTGGCTGGGTTTGGAAAAGTCTCTTGATTGGGTCAGACTGAAGCTGCTGCTGCTGCTGCTGCTGATGGAGGTGATGGGGGTGCTGCTGGTGGTGATGATGGTAAAGATGGTGATGGAGGTGGTGATGCTCCAGCGGCACACCGTTGTCACACAGCCGGTTTTCAGGGGATTCGGACACGGTTTGAAGGACCCCGCCGACGCCAGCGACGCCTCTCTGCCCCTGCATGAGCTTCGCGATGGCCGGACAGTGCTGCGGTTGGTTCGGCTGCTGCTGGTGAGCGGTGCCAGGGATCGGTAACAAGCCCGCAATGACATGTCCAACATCTTCCCCGACTACGGGCCTGATAACTCCATCTGAACTCCTGGTGTGTGCGACATTCCCCCCATTGGTGGTCACGCTTCTGCCAGAGTTCACCGTATCGTCGTAGGTCAGCGTGCGGGCGACGGGCGGGCGAGCAACTTTCCCTGCTGATGTCGCCATCGTGTGAGCAGTCACAGGAGGAACAGGGTCGGGCTTAGACGAGTGGTGATGTTGAGAGCCAAACAGAGTGGCCAAAGAGAGAGGCTTGGGTTCAGCACCGTCACTGTCCTGGTTAAAGCAAATACAGCAGAATAAGAGAGATGATGAGAGGTAGGCATGGGTAGAAATACAACAGGAACTACATAAATTGAAATTACAATAGAAGAAGAATCTTTTAAACAACACTTAAAATGAACTTTAACCGTCTGAACTCTAAAACCCGTTGGTGGGTTTGAAAACAATGGCATCTTGCCCAAATTAGACCATGTATCAGAACCAGAAACAGTAAATCCAGAGAGAACTGTCTGACCTTAAAATGGTCCTGTAACTGTGTGGCGTACTGGTCTGTAGAAAAACTGAACTAAACCTAAGCTTAAAATGTGATATTTCATTATTATCAGCACCTTTTTCTGCCAGTCTCATATAAAAATGCCTAAAGGAAACCATTTGTGCTAATCACACTATGTAAACAGAATTCTAAAAAATAATATATTTCATGCTTTTGGTACAACTGTGACACCATTAACAAACAGTTCAAATGTTAAAGATTCTGAGATTATTTTTTTTTTGCTACATTGGACTGAACTGCAATCAGTGTTTACACATAGCAGACAGACACAGGTATGGAAACTAATTAAACATGTAAGTTGTAACCTTACTATTGTACCTGGTTTATTGGAAGAACTATGTACATGCTGATTTCAGGTTTTTTCCATTTTTGTTTTGTCTTTTCTTATTATTAATGCCATTATAACTGTGCTATTCTGCATGAAACACATTTTTGACTTCTTCCTATATCCAGCCATGGTTGTGATGTTTCCATAAAGGTGCCAGACTTTATATTGCAATCAAAAATAAACCCACAGTGAGAGTAAATAAAATGTAACAGGAGCAAAAAGAAAAAAAAAGCACAAACTGCATTGAGTTCAGAGGGTTAATGAGCTCGATAAAGAAAAGACATCAAGGAAGAACAACGTTTTCACAGAGACCTGTGAGCCACCTTGGACTATAATAGGAACTGGATGTGTTACCTGAGTGTTCGGTTTAACAGGTATTGGTTTGATTAGGTTAGGGTTTCCACATAGAACACTGCTGCCACCAATCTCCTTTGGCTCTGAGGTAGACTTCTCCTGAGAAACGTAGGGAGAGGAAAGAAGGACACATGTGAAGAGATGAAAATAAGTGAAAAAAAAAATACAGGCAGCACGACAAGTGAGTCACAGAAGATATCAGAAGATTCATCTTACTAGTCAGAAGAAATGTAAATGTAAAAATTAAGCACAGGTCCTACTATTCCAGAATTATAATATTTTATGCAATCCAACAGTATTCTGTGATCCTTCATTTGTTTCATTTCACACAAAAATCCTGCAGTCTTTGATGTGCCCATACCTTGTCATACTCTGTGCGTGCTTTGGTTAACATCTGGATGATGTCCACTGCCTGTGCGTCACCTTCTCCCCTTCCTCTTGTTGGTAATCCACCAACACCTACTGCAACTACTCCTCCTCCTCCTCCTCCTGCTGCTGCTGCTGCTGCTGCTGCTGCTGGCGATAACCAACCACCCTGGGACTGAGCCAGGACCTGCTCCTGCTGGGTCAGACTGCACACACACAAATCCTTAAGTATATATGTGAAGCTTCTTGAGTAATTTATGGTCTTTACAACTACAGGATGTTTGAGCCAAAGTCAGAAAAACGTATTCTGTCACCGCTGGAGCCAAGTTCATTCAAACACACTTGTGTCATTTGTTGGCTGAAACCTGATTTCAGATGCAGAGTCATTAATATCCCCAAATAGTCTCCTGTCAAGCTTTGGCTGGACCATAACACATTAGTCATTGCTTGGCAAAACCTAATCTTATTGTGAATCTGTGTTTTCTTTTAGTTTTGTGTGTATTATCTTACTATTATACAATTACTTACATTCTCATCCTCTGGGCAATGCGCTGACAGTCCTCCTTGTCGTAGAACCAAATCCCATGAATAACCACTGAGGGGGGAAGAAAAAAAAACTCAACAAAATGTCATCGTTTGCAGTAATGATCCACTCAATGCTAGAAATCAAGTTAGCCTGGTGAAATATTTAAACTGCCTGAGATGTAGGGTCCTAGAAGGTCAGCAGACAGCAAAATGAGCTTGTTGACCTGCCATATCCTTTAAATTAAATAAATGCACAGACATGCCGTAGCACAGTTTTTGCAGCTCTGACATCAGTGCGTACCCAACAGATATGTAAACCGTTTATTATTAGCCCTGCTGGGTCAAAACCAGGAGTTTAAAATGAGTCATTTCCCAGCCAAGCCAATGGGAACAGAGGCCAGCAGTGCCATTATCCGGTGAAACATGGGCCCCAGGAGCCTCCTGAACTACGCAAACATGGTCGGAGGAAAAACACACTAACACGGTTCTGTCACAGAGTTACGCGGCAATAAGTAAGAAAATACTATTTTGATCTGCATCTGGTCTTAATATACTGAAAGAGAAAATGTTCCAGGCAGTTAGAAGACTTCTGCCTAAATGTAGGACCAGGAAATAAAAACTGTGATGGTCTAGAAAGAAAAGCCGAAATCCTCCAGTGTTTGAATTTCTTCCACGCAAACAAGTGTACGCTCAAGATGAATGTGTGAAATTCTGTCAGAACACCAGCAGCTGACGTTTAAATAGAATACAGACAAGAGGAAAAATTCAGACTTAAATCACAAACTCTGATGAAAAAATACGATGAAAGGACAACAAAGCCGTTACAGTTACTGATACACAGCATTAATGAGGGCAGCAGGACATCATCCGACACCTCAACACATTACTTTCAAAAGCGAATCTTGAGAAAAGATAAGCCCAATCCCAAAAAGGGAAAAGAGGTGAAGTGCTAAAGACATGAGAAAGTAAAAGGTGGAAACAGAAACAGTTATGAATGAGCTGGAGGGGAAACAGTAAAAAAAAAGATTAGGAAAGCGAGAACAGAGAGCAAAGGGACGACTGCGCTATGTGGTGGACAGAGTTACCGCGTAGAACTACTAGAGACAACACACATTCCCACACAGACAGACATGCACAAAAATACACAAATGAGGTTGGGCGAGCCACAGAGGTCAACGTGGATGAGGGGAAAAGACCGAGAGGGAGAGGCAGAGACACATGCACACACACAGAGTTCAGTTGAGCCTGGGAAAAACCAGCCCAGGACCAAATAAGTAACTGCAGTGGGAGACTGGCTGGTGGAGCCAGAGCCACTTAACGCTCGCCGGGGATGAGACTGTTTGACAGCAGCGGAGAGAGAAACACCCACAGTCAAAGTCAGACAGCTGGAAAATTGAGGAAAAATGAGCAAGACGGATAGAAAGAAGTGAGGTGTGTTAGAGAGGAGATTATCAATGTAGTTCTCGGCGCTCTTTAGCTGTCAGGACTTTCCCGCCGAGCTTTTGTCTACGAATGAAAAATGTTAAACGAAAGTGACAGAGCGACAGCCGGACGAGGACCTGTGACGTTTCAAACACAAGACACTCTCAGATCTCTCCGCTGCCCTGTCTCAGCCCCACATTAACAGGAAGACAGATAGGAAGCAAAGAGAGCGAGATAAAAAGGTGTGCAAAGGTGCTTTTAATAGAAGCTCCAGAAGCAAATAATCAAGTGTTTGGCTGTCCTGATGTCTCACCTGTAGGGAGTCTCCATTTCAACTAGATAGAAGAAAGAGGGAGAGGGTGATACTGAGAGAGGGAGAGTGTGGGAGGAGGACTAGCAGCACCAAAAAAAAAAAAAAAGTAGCTGTGGCCACGAGGTTAAAATTTTAGAGTGGATGTTAGCGAGAGAGAAAACAGAGGCAGCTCCAGTCTGGACACTGGACATTGAGAGAAAGGCAGAGAGACATTTGAAATGTACGCCTCAAGCTAAGAAGCCACATCAGCTCACAAGGGAACTTCACCGAACCGTCATGTGGGAAAATAACTTCAGCTTCAGGACTCAAGTTTGAGACCGCGACCGAGAGGAGTGATGACTCTAAAAACCAGAGAGACATCCTAAACGCAGGCTTTCTGGCTTGAACACTGGTGATCACCAACCCGGCGAGGTCTGTGAGGGATCCGCAACTTGACTCGTGTGGTCCTTTCAAACCCTCTGTGACGGCAACGTACCAGCAAAACAGGGAGCATGAGCGCACATGTCATGACTGCTGTAGATCTACGGTAACTCCAGGACAGGACGCTGTGGGACTTGAATGTATAAGAGGGCTTTTTTCATTTTAATACGCATTTATTGGGGTGTTTTTTGTTTTTTTTAAAAGACTGATTTCTTTTGATCATTTTCTGTTCAACCTACTCTGTTTGGATTTTGCTTTTCACAGGACATATTTTTTGTTTTATTGGGATATCAACACTGTAACTGTCTTTAGCTGTAAGCCAGAACGCACTACTGGGACTACTCGAAGAACAGTTTTTATATTTTATGAAGCTTTAGTATCGTTACAAATGCAGACATATTTATAAGCAGCAGTGTTGTCCGTGATGGATTAGGTGCGCTTTTACTGCACTATGTCTTCCCCTTTTAGGAGACAGCTTACAGAATCAGTCAGGAGGAACACGGTTGGTATTCTTTTTGTCTGTATTTAGTCTCCTGGATGTTTGTCAGAGATAAGAGTTCTTGCAGAATGAAAAGAACCATCACTGCTTTTGTTTGCAGGAATGGAATTCATGACACTGGGAGAGGATTAAATATTAAGATTTACTGCTCTTAAAACGCACATTAAAGAAGACATTACCACTACTGCTACACCTCTACGCCTTCCTCCTGAGGCTGTACTGTTGTTCTAATTGCACTTTTGCGACTGAAGACCAATTTATAAGAGGTACTGCTGTGGCAGCTGTATACGCACTACCTGACTTCCCTAAAGGGACATTAACAGAGCGACACCAGTGTCACAACACCTGTGGCCTGTTAAGGACTAACAGGATAAATCCTGAGCAACTGTAAGTTGTGGAGAGACTGGAAGAGACCCTTATTATCAGACTGTGAGACCATGCTGAGAGGCCTGTTTCAGAGGAAACCTAAACATGAGAGGCTGGAGGAGGAACCTGAAGTCAGATTTAAAGGCTCGCTGGTGTCAGAGACAGACCTGGGATACACATATGTCCGACCTGGAGGTAAGACTGTTCATACATTTCATATACAAAAGATTGAGGGGTTGAAGTGAAGTGGAGTCCTGGACTTAGCTACATCAAAGATATGTGGCAAGTGGGATACGTTCACAAAAACCTAACTATGCTGCAGTCAAACTAACAATACTGTATGCCATGGCTTTACTTTCTACCAACACTGTAGAAGGTTTTAGTCAATCAAACACGTTCAACGCACAAAAACTGCTGCAGTTAGAACACCAACTCTCTTAATGGGGCAAACAAAACACAAATGTAGGTGCTTACAGAAAAGACTCTATAAAGCTCCTGTAGGCTGTGATAGTCATCAGAGAAACAATGTCTTGATTAGGCTGGATTTCACTACCCCTTGCCCTCTTTTGTGGTATATCTCAACAGTATATTTTTAGCCTGGGGTGCCACTTTGTGCCAACTGCCTTTCCAGGAAGTTACAGCAGCACTGAGAGCTACATGTTTGTCTAATGATAAGATTCCACGGCCCTTCCACACAGAGGTCACAGCGCACTGGGACTGGCAGCATTGGCAACAGCTTACGCATCAGATGTTTGCCAGTGAACAAGCACATTTTGTACGCCAGTATGCTTTCATCTTTGTGTAGTTTTCTGGAAAAGATATCGCATCATGAAAAAAAAACGTTTACTGAATATTAGCTTAGTCATGCTGGACCTGGGGGCCTTGCGTCTGTTAGGGCATCTGAAAGGGTGTTTCTCTCGTTAAGAGCATGCTTTTATTCTGTGCTTTTGTTCGCTAAATCTGCTTCAACCTTGTCACATATGTGCATCCTAAAAAATTCATTCAAGGTCCAACAATTATAGTAAATCACAGGTGATAAAAATCAGCTTGATCACAACCATTCTGCATTCTTCTTTCTGAGTGTTTTATTATCAGTCTTCAATCACAGTAATCAGTTGGAGCCACCATTAGGTCCATGATGTATCCACCCACTCTTTAACTCACATAACTCTGGCCCATATTTCCTTTTTATCAGAGGAAACACTCATCAGCTGTGTTGTGATTACTGGCTTTAAGTGTTGTAAAATATCCTTCCTTCCATGGACAAGTGAGTTAGCTTCTCACTCGGAATTTATTCCCCGCTACTGATGCTCAGACCACAGGCCAGTACTATCACAGATCATCTTTAATGTGCCCGGAGTGCATTTAAAGCAGGTGCACAAGGTGTAAAGAGGTCACTCGGGGCCATTTATGTCATGCACATTATTTCACTGAGCCTTCAGGATGTTTAATAATGGCTGTTTGTCAGTAAGACAAATGAAGTACTACAGTAAGAGGACGAAAGCAGACGCAAGGAATCCACTGGTATCTAAACACAGCATTCCACCTGCCTTTTACCGAGATTCATGGAGAGTGCGAGACCAAGACAGAGCGGGAAGGAGGCTCTGTGTGTGTCAGCGACTTCTGAGTGAGTGTGTATGTGTGTTTAGATTATCAGCGACTGTTGGGGTGTATCTAATCTCTGCCGGCTGGTTTTGTAGTGCTGTCAGGCTCTTGTCCCACAGGCACACTCAGTAATGTCTTTGTGTGTGTGAGAGCCATATGCAGGCCTCAGAGGGAGTCAGGCTGATAAAATTCACCACAATACCTCTGCTTAGTTCCTTAAATGGAGCTACTGGTTCCCAATGAAATGAACTACGCACTGCATACTTTGGTCACTCTATCATACTTACTTATCTTAATACAATCTTTTTTCTAACTTCTTCGCTGTGGTTGTAAATGCACCTGTCGTTTTTAGGTCACGTTGCTATCTGATGATCGATATGGTCTCATTTGGGTTCTAAGGAGAAGTATGTGTAATCCAGTAAGCATGTTAGCAGTTAGCAGGGTATAAACAATCTACAGAGCCAGGGGAGTTACAAAAACTGATAAAGAGATAGATTTTTTTCAAAATCAGACCAACAAAGTACAAGTTAAGGCACAATTATAGCCATTTTTGGTGTTGTGTATCTCAATGTTGTACCCAGTCATTCTTCACATCTACCTCTCTGTACAGACGTATGCTCAAGATGCCACATTCTCCACTTTTAATATACATCTATCGTTTAATCCGTCTCTTAGCTATTTGTTGCTTTACAATGCACTGATTCTTTTCAGCCACAAAAGAGCTGTGTTAGCTTGCTGTTGGTGTAACCCGAACCTCCTGCTCACGCTGTTTCACACTAAAAGGCAAAGTGCTGAGAGAGTTAGCAAAACCTCCTTAGCATTTCAGGAAAACTACTCTCTGTGGTGCAGTACGAAAACACTGGAAGCAAGCCAGCGCAGCTCGACTGACTGCAGGTGTTCACAGCATGGGATAAAACACTGCAACTTATTTAGTTAATTATTTAGTATGAGCAGCTAGTGCTGGTATTTAGCCATCTATGTCAGTACAGTTTAATATTGCAGAACAGTATTGCTTTAACGTTGTTGATACAGACTGCTGATTCATCAAGGTTTTTCAGTTAAAAAGAAAATTACTTGTTCTAATATCTTCCATATTTCAAGAATTTTTCAGCTAAGACATATGACTCTGGTGCTGGTAATCATGATTTAATGAATACCATTCTCAAAGACTGATAAAGACGCCACGTACTGTATTCGACAGAGATTTAGGACAAAATGCATCAATAAAAAAACTTAAGAGACTAATAATTAGTAGCACATCAGAAGTTTGTGTGTCTGTTTGTGGTTTTCCTTACATCTTGCATTGCGGTAAAGCAGGAAGGGGTCCTGGAGCTGGAAGTCCAGGTCTTTGGTGATTGGCTCTGTCAGATTCTCCATGTTGAGTCGGTTCATAATGGTGAAACCATGTCTGGGAGATGCCAGCCTAAAAAGAAAAGAAAACAGGCCACAGGCATATATGTCAAGATTTATACAAAAACCTAGGCAAACAAGCTTAATTCATCCATGTAATGTCCTGCTACAATAGTACCTACCTACAACTTGTGAACAGTTACAAATACATGTGTTAGGGGTTGACCAATATGATTTTATCAAAGTCAATATCAATATCAATTATTAGTAATCAAGGAGACTGATAACTGATGTTTGGAACTGATATACATTTACAGTAAAAATGAAAATCTTGGTGTCAGAACTTCCACAAAACTTCATCAGAATATTTTTGTCTATTTATGTTTTACAAATATTCAATTAAAAGAGAACTTTTCAGTGCTTATAGGCAAATATTCACGATGTGCAACTAGTTGTGAACAGGACATTGCTTTGACTCTAAAATGTACCGCAAATTCTGCCATGCGTTTTAATACCAAAGATGTCATTATTTTACACATAAATATAACAAATATATTACAAACGAGGCAATCGAGTGACTGTGACAAAAAATTAAAATAAAACCATTTTAACTACAAATGTCCTATCAGCAACACTCAGCAGAGTAAGAAAGGCCACAACAAAGTCTGCTTCTCAATACAAAAGAGTTTTACTGAACTATTCACTGAGTATCTGCTACAACTCATAGTTTTGCATAGAAGCATTTTATGCTGCATTTACTTACCTGGTGTAGATAAAAAGAGTGCCTTCCACTTCTGTCTTCTCCTGAAAAAGACAAAAAATAAATACAAAATCAACCAAGAACCAAAAATTATGTTACTGCACTTTTATCTAAAACTGTCAGACTACCTGAATGTTAAGGCTGGCCACATAGATTGGCTTAATATGAGGATTCGAAATATTTTTATATAATAACCTCCCGAAAAGCAGCACTTCCTTGTGTGGAGATGAAACTGAGGAAACTGGGATGCTCCGGCTTGTTTGTAACTATGGGGGCAGCGGTCACCTCTGTGTGTCACTTTGTGGTGCTATAATACTAAGTATGAAATAATTAAGAATTTAAGCGTGTCTATTTCTAAGTAAAGTAAATGTTTAAACCCTTAACAATCACAGCTAACTCGGTTAACCCACTAATTTAACTTGAGTCAGGATAAATCTGCACTGGCAAAGCGCGCCTACCACAGAGAATGACGAAGCTAAGCTAAGTTAGCACATGATATCTTTGACTAAACTTCGGGCTTACCCACTCGTTCGCCCTGTTGTTATAAGTATACAGGGCGACTTGGCTGGCCACGTCCACGATGTTATTGATGTAAGGGTCTTGTCGCTGCAGAGCTGCCAGACTTATGTCCAGTCCTTTCGCAGCAAGGCAGCTAGTGCTACCTGAAGAAGTCGCTGTCATTGTTCCCTATGGAGAAGTTAGCTCGCTAACTAGCTTCAGCGGCTAACGACTCCCGCGAAGATGAGATAAAAACCGAACCAGCGACGAGGGAAAATACTGTTGAGCCGGGAGTTGCACAGTAGCCCGTTTGGCTAATGAAGGCTGGTAAATTTTAAAAAATCAACAGTTTTCAAGCCCTAACTGTCATGAGTGAGTTTCCAAACGGCCATGTTTAGCCAGAGAGATTGTAAACAACTTAGACGTGAGTAGTTGCGCGCGAGGATACGATACCAGTTTGAATAATCAACTTAGAAAAATCGATGGAGACCTTCTGCAGTGATTTTTAGTTTTATTTTATTCACACATTTTTAAAAATAGTATCATGAGAAACAAGCCGGTGTATCGCTGGTTTCAGAGCTGAACTCAATCATCGCAAAATGAACAGTAACATCAGGTGAGTTAATTTCACTGTCACTGGGTTTATTTGAACATGTGTGTTCATTTTTGTTTTATTTTATCTCTGCATTCACTATTCACGTGGGTAAAAGAAAATAGGCTGGTATTTGTGTGTGAAGCTGCATTTTACTGTGCAATGAGGGCATCTTTAAATATGCTATCCAGTTTCACTCTATTTTAGCTTTGTGTTTGTGTCACATCCCCCACAAGTAAGCAGCAGGTGTTTGTCTTTTGTCATTCATCTTTTATATCTGGCAACAGTAACACTGATGCTGATGAGTGATGGCTGCAAATCCACAGTTACATTTCCCAACAAATGCACTAGGGGGCATCAAAGGGATGGCTAAACACAGTCATCCCATCCTCACAATTTGTACTGCATGAGGTGGAGTTGATTTGATTAAAAACTAAAGCATACCCCAAAAGATTTTGTCTTATTATGGCAGGGGGAGCAAATACAACAGCAGCTAGAAACAAATATAAATTCACTTGTATTTTTTTCTACTGGGTATCTACTTTTTCTGTGCACTTAAGGTTTAAGTTCCATCAAAAAGCAAAGGTCTCGACAGGCAGGCTATATTTCTCTTTCCATTTTATAATGTACAGAAACATGATGTGGTTTTACTAGTACTGAATTGCTGCAAATGTTTATTTTCAGTTATCTGGATTTCATAGGAAGTGCTAAATGCAAGGAAACAAGTGCAAAGGCATCTTTTTTCTCAGCATTTACTTTGTTGAACCCAGTTAAGGAGGCTTGTTAAGCAAAAGTATAACACAAAGTTGGCAATAGCAGTTAAATATTGTTCCGACACGTCCAATTTTAAACTTTATCAGAAACTTTTTTTGAAATGTTATGCAAGGAGTGCCATTCTTCTTCTTCCAAGGTCAATTGTGGTGATTCAGTTTTTTTTATTTTACATTATCTACAGTGTACAATGTTCCTGCTCCAGGCTTTAGAAATATGTTGTTCCTGAAATTAATACTCAAGGGCAGAACAGTAACTGATAGAGGGAGAGGACTTTGAGGTCTCTAAGTTCTTGAAATCTGTATCAGCAAAACCCATATTAGATGATATCAGTTGAGACAGCTGACAATCTATCTCCATATTAAGTACAACATATCCTGCTCTGTTTCAAGGGTACTTGAGTCATAACAGCCTCTTCAAGTGAGCATATTCTGTATTTGTCAGTCGATTAACTATAACTATAGAGACATAGAGTCGATCATGCATGCTTATATGCACCATTTTTGATTAAATGACTATTGTTTAGTGTTATAGATCAAAGTTGCACTGCTCTTCTTTTGTGCGTCTTAGTTTTACTAATTAGAATTAACCCTGTCTAAATTTTAAAACCAGTGAATCCATCATGTCAAAAACAATAAACATCCAGCTATTACCTCAGTTTAAGCAGCACTGGATGCAAAAAAACATTTATCTTAATAGCTTTTAAGTGAAAGTTGCACTGCTGTCCACAAATCCTCTTCTTGAATGTGAATCAGGTTACGGCACATCCACGCCATCATTAACATGAAAATAGCTTCTTGGTGATTCCATTTGTTTGTCTGTTAATTTGTCAGACTTTTATTGTGCGTTTCAAGGTGTGTGTGTCTATTTGTCAGGGTGGTGTTTATCTGGTTTTTTTTAGGGGTTTGTAAATGATTAGGCTAATGACTTATCCATCACCAGGTCAATGTGGTCAATAGACATTCAGTCAAGCTTGAGCACTTGTCTTTGATTGGTGCAGACGGGCGAAGGGAGGGATGTTGGTGATTGGCTCACAGGCAGGAAGGATCATGGGAAATTAGCCAGTGGGCAGTTTGCTGGAATTTAACGAGGGGAGGGGAGGCATAAGTCTGGGTGAGGTTCTGATGTAATTGGAGTTTTCACAGTGTCCAAAAAGTCCACATGCCCACTTTTTATTTTGTTTTATTTTATTTTGTTACGACAGACATGTTGTAGGTTGGAAAGATAGGCTAATTTCCCTAAATTACATGAATAAGGTATTATGTGCACAGAGAACAACATAGACAACCAAACATTTAGATCTCAGTTTCCTTTTGTTTAATCTAAAAGTGACCCCTAATAAAAGATAAAGATAAACTTTATTGATCCCACAGTGGGGAAAGTTCACTGTTACAACAGAAAACAAAGTGTACAGTCAGTGCAGAATAATGTAGGAACACCCAGTGCAAAAAGTAGGAAAGAATACTTTATAAGATATACCTTCACTTCAACAGATATTTTGTTAAAGTAAAGATATTAAAAGTGTGAATCCATTCAGATCACAATTTCAGTTAGAAATGAATTAATATATGTTTAATGTCCAAAAATGTGCAGCTGAATACGTCCGTTCTCACTGTGCATGATGGGATTCCCCTTTAAGTGACCATCAGGTTGTTGGTTTCCCACATGGGACACCAGCATTTGAATGTTTGTCTGTGCAGAGATTCCCAGAGACCAACTGGGCTTTAGAGTCGCACATACAAAGAGGCCTGCAAATACAAATATAGAACAGTCGCAAATAGAAACCGATATTCCATGTGCAGGCTGGATTACAGAGGACATTTGTGTGTGTGTGTGTGTGTGTGTGCGTCTGTGTGTTTGTGCGTCCCCTGGGCAGAAGTGTCTGTTCCCACGACCTGCCCTCCATCCGTTCCTTCCTTCTCTCGGTCTTTCCCTTCCGTCTCTCCTCCGTTCGCTGGCCAGACAAATCAAAAGGAGGCTAGTTTGGCAAGAGATGCTTCTCGCTTGTCCATCTGTCTCACAGCTCCGACAGTGGTGATCAGACCGTCGTCTGCATCAGTGGAAAGTAGCTTAAAGTAGTTAAGCACAGTTTTCCATTATATTTATCTGACAGATATGGTAATTTGTTGTATTTACATAATCAAACATATGGTAAACTTGTAGAAATGCGGTGTGGTTTTAAAAATCGAAGCAGCCGGCGGTGAACTTTTTGGTTCTTGGCCTCCACTGACAAACAACTTCTAGAAGAAGTCATATTTCTTATATTTACGAGAGGTTCACGGTTCCACCAAAGAGCGATTTTCACAGATGTTAACATACAAACAACTGTTTCAGTGATTAGAGTCACAGATGTATCTTGTGACTCCTTGGAGGGGCCAGTTTGTTAAACACTAAAACGCATAAAATTAGTTCTACTTTGACCAGCTTTCAGCCTACTGTTGCATCAGTATTAGCATTTTAGTGATGTAGTGATACGGCAGTCAAAGAGTGCTTACACGCTGTTGAAAAGGCTTTTTTTTTCAGTTTGTACAATATTAAACTCTTGGAACACTTCCTTTTATTCATTCTCATTCTTCTTCTCCAAAAACAGTGTATTAATATAACGTATGCATCACAAAACGCTATATTTTCTTCCTAAAAAAAGACAATTCGATTGTCAAATGCCATCAATAGAGTCATTTATCAGCTGTCTCCCTGTCTTTACTATGTCTGCAGTGACACATGTAGACAAAAACGCTTTATTCTATTACAGAATGGTGGGTGGTGATTTTGCGCTGTGGCACTGAACAAATGGCTGGGTTGAGTCATCAGATTCACCTCCTGATTGTAGCCTGCAGTGAGATTGACATGAGGCCCTGCACATTGTGAAGTTCGTATTCAGTGTCAAAGACAATTATATGGGACGGCCAGTGGCGCGATAAGAAATGCTGCTCAGTAGCTTCAGTACATTCTGATGTATGATTGAGTGTTGAGTTTTGTAAAGCTCTCCTGTAGTTTCTTTCTTTCTTTTTTTTAAAAAACATCTGACATCTAAAAATCATCCTCTAATGTGGAGATAATTTGTTTTTTTATCAGTATACATGAAAAGACAGAAACCACTTTTTCAAAATAAGGTCAAGGTCCTTTTGAAGACGAGGTAATGGGGGAAAAAAGCTTCTTTCTTTATCTTTTATATCAAGCAGGCTGTGGCTAGCTTTTAAGAAAACAGCTCAATTTAAGAACCGACATGTTATTTCTACAAGCGGCTCCATCCAAAAGCCTCGGCGAGCTGCAGAGCCAAGCTGACTCAATGTTATCAAAGCCTGGTGGAGAGCTGTTTTAGTTAAGAGCTGATGTTGTTGACTTTGTTTGACATTTTACTCCCAAATGAGCTTCAATTCTTACCTAAGAAAATGGACCCGTGTCTCCAGAAAATGACTCTGCGTGCCTCGAGGGCCAGGACAAATTTGTTTTCTGGCCATGGAGAACAATGTCAAACATACTTGACTGTCCTGAGGGCATGAAAAAAAAAAAAACCTAATTAAATTCCAAAAATCATTTATATTGTCCTCTAGAAAGAAAGGTCCACGCTCAGTCCGTGAGCAGTGACCTTCCTGAGCCGCTTTAGGAGATTTGAGCATCCAAAGATCTTTAAAAAAAAAAGCATTGTTTCCTTCTGTTTAGGGCAACCACGAAAAGAAAGATCAGAGCTTGAGTCATAAAAGAGCTGAAAACCCAGATATTTAGTGTGTGTGTGAACACAGCCTCGGCCAAAGAAAAGAATGAGGCTGAAGCAGTCCAGATGTGGACGAATCCGATGTTCATGCACCATCTCAGATGTGTGCCTGGTCCTGCAGAAATGGGAGTCTGATCTGGTTCCTCCTCTCACTAACACTTTCTCTTTTTTTCATCTCCTTGTTCGCATCTCACTTCCACAGGTTTCTGCACCTTTCTTCTGCCCTCTTTTCCTAAATAGTTTTTGGATTTTCTAGGTCCTGCTTTCCTCTCTCACCATACACACGCTCTCACACACACACTTCATCATCATCATCATCATCATCATCATCATCT